CATAACTGAAGGTCTTTAGTATCGCCTCGTCGATGGCAGAAAGATGGCAATCAACAGATAAGATCCACGAACCCGAGAAGGAGGATCGAATTCATCAAGGATCAACACAGTCAATTTGTGAGACGTCGGTTTGCGCGCGACCGCACACAAAGTCACGATGGACGATCGCTCTCTTGGGGGAGGAGAAAAATGCGCACATACACATACACACACGACGGTGGATAAAAGCGGACGTATGTCACTCTGGGGGAAGGCAGGCGTTTGCTCGGTCGCGCGTCGTGTTCGGCAGCGCGTCATCGCCCATCCGCGTCGTCTACCATTACCGTCGGCACGCGATCGTACAAAGCGTTTGATCTCTTCCTTCGTTTTTTTTGGTAAATATTAGAAAATCTTCAAAATCACTACGAGAGCGCGTTAGAAAAAGAGAAAGCGGCAGCTCATCGGATTCAGGCACTTCACCTCGTCCACGAGGTCCTCGGCGGGGGGCCTCGCGGAGCTCTTCCCCGTGGAGAGATTCCGCCGCGCGTTACAACGACGGATTCATCGTTATCTTTGTCAACGGGTACAGGGCCTACGTCTACATTCGCGAGAGACTAACGATACAGTGATTGCATTATATAATCGATCGTTCGCAGGAGCCTCAACTAGGTCAGTCGCTTGAGCTTGTACTTTAATAAATTCATCGAAAATACGAGCCACCGCCTGTGACAGAACAGGTCGACGCAGATAGTACTGCGGATCGCGCGACGAGGATGTACACAAAACACAAGTGTCGAATCGAGAAAGAGAAGGAGGACAGAATGAAAGGCGGAGAGATACAGATGCAGTCGGGTGGTGTGAAGCGACAGCGCAGGATCCCCGGAATAAATAGAGAGACGCGATAAAACATCGGCCGTGGAGGGGCGGGGGAGACTAGGGCAGGAGGGTTAATCTAGAAAGCGGAAAATGTTAATGTAGCGAGTGCTGGTGAGTCGCCGGACCTCGCGCCGCATTCGCGGTGGGCGTCGCGCGCGACATCGGGAAAATTAATAAAATTAAATGATATGTTGCTTCTCTGGTTAATTCGTGGTTCTCTCGACCATTCGTTTTGTAAGTGTAAACGTAAATTAACTCTATATATTAAAAACTCAAGCGCGATTACGTACGTATATCACTATTCATCTTCAAGGTAAATGCGGTAGGCGATTAAAAGAAATAATAATAATTAAACGAACGAGAAGAAAAAAATGAGAAGAAGAGAGAAAGAGAGGAGAGGAAGAACCGTAAAAGTCTTACTCTGTGCGAATGAAAGTAGTAGTAGTAGTAGTAGTAGTAGTAGTAGTAGTAGTAGTAGTAATAGTAGTGTAGTGTAATAGTAGTGTGGTCACAGATGTCCATACTACTCCTGGATCGCTGACTTCATCAAAAGAGCCGTGAGTGAACGCAACGTGTTAGTACGTACGTGATATCTGACGTGATGAAATTTATAATCGCAAAAACATTTTCGTCAACATTCTAAGATGCCGAGCAATCGTAGCATGATGAAGTGCAAAAATACTGAAAGAGATGGTTTTTCATTTATTTGGGTTGAAAGTTGAACGCATCTATTTGTGTGATAAATATTCAAGTTTTGTAATATTTAGAAGTTATATCTCAATCAAAAACTATGAATCTTTCAAATTCCCTTTGAATTGTCCGTATATTTTAGAAATGTGGATCAATAGCACCGAAGGAAATTTTGAACTAACGAAAAACCATTTGCCATCCGCCATAAACATCATATATCCAACTAAAAATGGCCGAAACCGGAGATTCGGCCGACCTCAGCCTTTCCACACGTCAAAAAGTAACCCAAGTTAGCGATCTAGAAGTCAGTATAGACATCTGTGTGACAGTAACAGTAGTAGTAATAGCAGTAATAATAAAGTAAGTTAACCCTTACGTTATCGGAAGTAACGTTACGTACGCAGCAACAATCAAGTCAAGATCGATTTGATAGCATCGGTCATTAGCGAAAACGCGCGGCAACGCGGCACATCCACGAATAAATATACGCTCGTAAAAGGCTACAAGTCGAAAGCACGAGTTACACGTCTATCTAAGGGCACTTACTATCTTTCTCGTCTCGTTGCGAATAACTCGCCGCTCCGGCGCAAGCTTCTCATTTTTCGTGCTTCGAAGAGCGTCGGGACGCGGCTTCGTCGTTCTCGTCCGTCGGCCATGCGACGACTGGTTCCCGGACCTGGATGTTTTCAGGCATCTCTCGCGCGTTTTATTTGCGACGCGGTCGTCCGAGCATGACCAAATGACGGGCGACAATATACCAAACATATACTATTACCCGTCGGACAGAATTAGATTACGGTTTCGGTTATTTGGTCGTTCTTCGTCAGCGACCGGATCCGACTCTTTCCTTCCTATCACGAGCTCATTGAATCTCTTATTCAGAAATAGCTCTACCGCTTTACCTATCGTGACGCTAAAATCGCGTTTCGCGGCGCACGACGTGCTCGAACATGTTTCATGTTGAGGAAGAACGCATGAATTAGGCTGTTTCCGCAATAGGCGTAGCAAATCTTTAGTATCTCGCTCTAATCTCCAAGCTGTGCTGAATTTCTGGCAAAAGATATTCCCCGTGTTATTAGACTTTGGAAATTCGAAGTTTCTAGTATTGTTATTTCTGGCAGCGCCTCTGGAGAACGTCTCTTGCCGGAAATTTTCGGCCACTCGAAGCAAAAGGCTCAAGGTTTGCTATATGGGTCAGTTTTAACAGTTTCGGGCTTGAAGACGAAGGGGCTCTCTAGATCTATCGTAGATCGAGTCTCAAGGGACAAACGAGTCACTCTGCAACATTCCTGACCACCCATCTCATTCTCGGAAGATATTGCTATCGACTACCATCGCGCAAGCGGCTGTCAGATCTGTCGTTTTCCTCTCACCGTTTTACTGTTTATCCTCGAAGCGGAAGGTCTTCGTATTAGACTCTTGCCGACTCGACATGGTCATGGTAACGGTCTTCTTCTCCGTGACCTTGTGCAACGTTGATTGCTTAGTCGTACGTTCCTCGAGGGTGTCGTCAAGGGCAGACTTGAAGGTTGATAACTCGTTACCGGACGTCGTGTATTCTTTGGTTTCTTCACTGGTCTCGTAGTTGGAGCTGCTGCTCTTCCCGGGCGTGGACGTGTATACCTTCGTCGTGATGGTCTCGATTCTGCCGCCGGGCATGACTTTACTCTCGACGTTCTTGAACGTCTGCTGCTGCGGCACAGCGGCGCCGAACCGCTGGCTGTCCACTTGCCTCTCGGAGCGGAAGGTGCTCATCGGGCTGACATTCGAGAAGCGGTCGATGACACTCTGGTGATCCTGCGGAGATCTCTCGTACGCCTCCGGCGAGCTTTGCGTTTGTGGGGTAGACCTGCGCGTCGGGGACTTGTGCGAATACGAGATATGTTGAGGTGGTGGGTGGTACGCAATGTCCCCAGCGTGCTTCGTCTCCGCACCGAGAAAGCTCTCCTGATTGATCTTTCGTTCGATCGAGCTGTACTGACCGGGCGAGTTGTCTGTTACGATCTTCCTCTCTGTAACGATGTATGGACTTCTGTCCTGGTGACTGTCGCTATACTTCTTGTCCAACGAATCGCCTTCGAGAATGGCTGAGCGATATTGGGCGTCTTTCATCTTCCTCTCGAGAGTGCTCAAGGTCGAGTACACCTTCTCCGGACTGACTAGCTGCTGGTGATCACTGTCACCGAACTGGTGGTGGCTGATGTGCTGAGTGCTGGACTGCAGCTGGTCCAAGGTGTGATGCATCGCTTGCACCGGTGACTGAGCATGAGGCGGCTCGTACGACTTGGTCTCGTATCGCGTGGTGTAGCTCTCGTAACCGCTCTGGTCAACGTCGCCGTCTGCGTCGGCCAGGTCCGGCCGGTTCTTGTACTTGGCTTGACGGATGGCGGTCAGCCTGCCCCGGGCTTCCTCCAGCTCGCGTTCAATTCGCAACACCTCCGAGCGTGCGTTGATCTCCTGCGCGATGCCGCCTACCATGCGGCGGTTGAGGACCAAGGAACGGTCCTCCTCTTGTTGGATAGCCTGTTGCGCAGCGCGTACGAGATTATCGGTGGCACGTTTCACGGCATTTCCGGCAGCCTGCAGGCGCTTCGTGCTCTCGCTGTCAGGGTCTGCCTTGACTTTGCAAGCAACCAACAGTTGCGCCGTGCTGCTGGCAACCTGCTTGGCGCTGGAGATCAACTTTTCCTCGGAGCTTACTCCTTGAACGAGAGCATTGGCGGACTCCACGAGGCTGTGGGTGGCGGCCGCCACCAATCTGGCGGCGGAGATCAGACCCTCGGACCATTGGCCGTCATCAGAGCTAGTTAACGGCGTGCGAGACACTTTCCCGGTGGCGATCAGCTCGCGCTGGGCGGCGCTCGCGGCTTTGATCAGAGCGGAAGTGGCGGCGGCGATCGACTTGGCCGCTTCCAATATCATCTCGTCGAAGTTCATATCCTCGTTCGCCTCCTGCGGAATGAAATGATGTCTTGGAGTGAAATTCGATTGGGGAGCGATGAACGTTCGGGAATGACGTAACAACTAGAATCTTATCGAGCGAAACTCACCCTCGCCGCGGTACTTTTCGCGCGTCGACTTCTCTGGCCGCCGCAATAATATGTTCGATTCCTGGTCGATCATTTATAAACGACCAAGAAAATCAAACATATCTCGCGGAGAGCAGAACGATTCTCTACAATGTACCCCTCGCACTCGATTATATTCCTCCTATGTTATTATAATTCACACTTTCAACATGATTTCGTAGTCTCTTATTCGCTGTCTCACATTGACGTCTTTCCTGAAAAGGAAGTATCCCTACCTAACACATTTGCCGTCAGTGTCGCAAGCATGTGACCCTCCATTTGAACCCTCCTCTACTCGAGATTTCTCATCTCTAGTCAACATTTCCAGTTCTACTCGACACGATCGTTACCAACGTCACATGTGTGTGGTAACACTTTTCTTTCTACAAGGTGTTCTCTAAATATTTTTCCGCGTGCGCTTTAGTAGTCGAACACTCTGCAAAGCTAAATCTACTTTACACAATCACATACAAAAACAAATACGACACGGTCCGTGAGTAGATTTCAATTGAAACCAAATGTGGCAGCGAACGTGTTAATCTTCCCTCCGAACTTCAAGCAAGAATTGGAATCAAACTTTCTTCAACATTATGATTCTTCTAAACGACTACGGCCGTATGCTCACCTGAATACTTCTCCTCGGCCTCAGACTGGCCAGCTTCTTGGCGGCTGCATCGATGCTCGCAGCCGCGCCGAGCAGTTCGTTCTCGGCGATAACTGTAGGGTCGTCAGGGTCGACCCAGTCGTTGCCCTTCAACAGCTCAGCCACTGCGACCAGTTCGGTCACGCTCTGGGCGATCTTGCGCGAGATGACCGGCAATGTGTGCTTGGCGTCGCCCTGCCTCGAGGAGATCTGCAAGATCGCCTGGAGCAGTTCGCGGTAATTGATGGCGACGTCGTGGCCAGCCTGCAGGGTGCGGTCGCGCAGCTCGGCGGTCTCCGCGCAGTTATAGGCGGCGCCCTTGCAGATGGTCAACATGTCGCTGATCGACTTCCTGCCCATGTTGGCGGCGGCGATGATGTCGTCCTGCTTGCAGCTGTTGCCGGCGGCGACCGCCTTCGCCGTGGATGTCGTGATGCTCTTGGTGCAACGCACCAGGTCCTCCGGCGTCACGCTGCTCTTGTGCGTCTCCGGGCCGCTGAGGGCGCGGATCTCTTGCGCGATCGCCTCGATCGTCGACTCCAACGCTCTGGTGCCGCGCGTGTGCTCGTCCTCCACTGCCTTCACGGTTTTCAGCAGCGACGTCACATTCGTCACCATCACCTGGGCCAGAGAAAGAAGGTGCGCATCAGTCCACGGCCTGACGGCGAATCGCGTTCCCTCTCTTACGCTTACGTGTAAGAGAAGCGCGTGAATTGTTCACACTCCGTGACACGTGTTAATGCGCAAACCCGCGAGAGCTCGCGGGCAGGGTTAAGGCTACGAAATGAACGGACATTAATGGTTTTAGCTGTCAGGTAGTTCTCAGGTATCACGGGGGGAGGATAAAGGGTGCGCTAGATCGTCTGCAATCTGCAGCAGCTGGTCAATACACGTGAGACTGGATTAATGCGCGAAGCGTGGTGTGTTACATCATGAACGCGAGTCTACGCGACCCTCTCGACGATGATACGAGACACGCATGATAATGCGGAAGCTGTTAACGGGAAGTCTGTTAATCCGTGCACAAAAAGAAAGAAGAACGCACCGTCGTGAGACAGGGACGTACGTACCCAACTGATGACTCGGCCAAGTGAAAGTGGGTATCTCGGGTATCAACGTGAGCAATTGAGAAAGACTGATTTTTGCGAGAGAATCGTGGCTCATTAATACAGAGATTCGTTCGTACATGATTTCGCGACTACGTCGTAATCTACGTCAAGGTCCGTTAATTGGCGACTCGCAGGGCCCGACCTGTCTCGCCTCTTACGCGACCGTCACTCTTCTCCAGGTCTCCGCTCGTTTCCTTCACTTTAGCTGAACCAGGTCGTATCCTTCGCAACCCTTAGAGCGTGAGATAAGTTTGATAGATAGACTTGTGTGTGTACGGCAGCAAGTTTGTACACAGCGAGTTGTACATACAATTACAGGTATACATGATGCTGAAGAGGGAACAGAGAAAAAACGGATAAATCCTGCGCTGCAGCGCCAGTTCAGCTAAGAAGGGAAACAAAAAGCGGAGCTTTCTCGACGACATACACGCAGACATAGAGAAGAGAGAATCGGAGTCTGCCAGCGCATCGCGGGGCCAGCATTTCGCACATTTCGCTCGTGCGGATCGCGCTCGATCGTGAGTCAATTTTCGAATTATATATTTCACGCGAGCGATGCGACGGAGGAGGAAACGGAAAATCCGGCTACATGAGCAACAGTAAGTCGGACGTCCGTTGGACCGGCTGAGAGCTCTCAGAAGCGGAGAGCAGGCGGATTAGCTCCTCCTCTTGATCGGACACGAACCATTCCGATTCCGAGCCGCCGACGTCGCTCAGAGGCACGAACTGCTGCTGCAGCTGTTGCTCTAAGACCTGTCCGGGACATCGGCCAGACCAAAATCGTCAATGAGACTCGTATTAAAGTCCACCGCGCATCGTCGACACATTTATCATACGCAAGTGGCAAGTAATATTAATAAGTAGCAGCAGTAATATACACCACCGCCATTTATCGCGGATCTCTCTCGACACATCTCTCTCGAGGACACACTACGCGAGGAAGCAATGTACAACCAAGGCGGAGTCTTGCGTTCAGCAAACAACATCCTCTACGAGAAGAAAAGAAGTGCCTTTCGCCGAAGGGTGAGCGAAAGGGAGGGAGAAAGAAAGAAAGAAAGAAAGAGAAAGAAGGAGAAAGAAGAGAGGAGGAAGAGAAAGAATCACGTCATCCGCCGCTCTAAGTGGTAACTTCACACACATGGAAGATAGATACGAAGCCGAACAATAAGCGTCGTTCAAGGTGGACTTTAATGGTGTCTCTCTTGCATTTCGGTCCGCCATGCTCACGGGGCGGAATAACACGGAATGACAGATTCTCGCGGCCTTGTCTCGACTGTTGTGCTCCCGAGAACTGCGGTCAATCGCGATCATCAGCGTTCTGTGACGACGGACGTCGTGTGAGATTTTTAGTAGAGCGAGGGCGCAAGATCGGTTAGAGGCGAGAACGATCATGAAGACGCTCGTGAGAATGTGTCAATTAAAGTCCACCCAAAAAAAGGAACAAAAAGGGCAAGTGTCTCGGAAGTTATGCCATGGACTTGTGTACACAGACTGCTGCACCCTCTCATCAGGGAGCTTTGAAGATAAGATCTCAGAGACCGCTATACTCCTCTTCCGCAGGCACGCGCTATCTTCGTCTAGCTTTCTTCGATAGGAACCAAGCTAGAACGATCGAACGTGTCTGTGGGCATAGGGCATCCTTTTCGGATGTGGTCTCCGCGGTCTCTTTGCCCAGTCTGTATATACAAGTCTACGAATTATGCATTCCACACAGAGAAAATATTATATATAAAAATTACGACTTTTTACGAATTTTTGCAACCAAGAATATTAGACTGCTACGTATTTGTTTAAAAGTTCATGCTCATTGAAATTACTTGGATGTTTCTTTCCTTCGTCGTTTAGCATTTTTACGGTGACTCATACTCATACAGTGCCGGTATAGCCCGGCTGCACGAAAACAGTTTGAAAAGAATCTGACGATTTTGTAACGTAAATTTGCCACAACATTTTCTCCGTGTACGGTTAAGTCTGGAGCGACACGATTAGGACCTCCGATCGGTTAATCAATTAGGGGGCGGGGGAGACACCCAAACAACCAAACTTCATTAGTCTTCACGGGTGCTTAGATTGAAATTCACCCTGGACGAGCACCTCCGAAGGAGAATATACTACAGGTGGCTTTCTTTACGGTTACGTCTGGAACGACATTATTGGAACTCGGTGAGTAAAATCGACCGTCGGAGATTCGTTAGGACTCGCCAGGGTGCCTCATCCGTATTCGCGGGATGTCCCATCGGATGAATCTCTCGATTCTACGGTTATTTCGGGCAGTTGCCGAATCGGCCGGCCACCGGCGGGAGTTAATGTCGCACGGCCCGATATTATTCCACGTACACGCAATAAAGAGCCGCCCGCGCCGACGGCGACGGCGCCGTCGCGCCGTGAACAACGGGTTCCTTCCAATCAAGCGCCGCCCTCCCGGCCGGGTTAATCTTTCAAGCGGCAACGTAAGCGCGACTAATCCGCTCTACTCTCGTTATTAGGGCATATTAGGGCAGAATGTCTAACATGTCTAACATGCACATCCGTCGCATGTGCATATGCAGATTGTTGGGTCGAACTAAAGCAAAAAGTTCTACCACACCATCTTGTAAACAAACGCCTGTAAAGTTTTCAATTGAGGAATTGATTGAAGAAGATCGGCGAATGAGTTATGCGATACCCATTCTTTTTAACTGAAACAGGTAGCACTCTGTTTGCCGCTAGAGCGAAGCAAGTGTACCTTGGTGTTGAAGGGAAAAGAAGCAGAGTTCTAGTGCAGCTTTAGTTCAGTTAAAAAGAATAGACCCATCGTTAAGCTGAACAAGAACGTTACGCCGCTTCATTTGCAGCCGATTGGCGAAGCCTCACCTTCACTGGTTCAGAGTACTAGTCCATTTAGCGCATCGTGCGCGAGAATCCGTCTTCCTTAATCAGTAGCTTAAGTCTTATATGGTTGTTCACAAAATGGTGTAAGTCTTTTTAATTTAGTTCAAGCCAATTCACATGCGATACGGCGATTGCATTCATGATCAGACACCCTGTACATATATGTATATATGTATATATATATATATATATATATATGCATATACACATCACGATGACCACGTGTGAGCGAAGCGAGAAGACACAGTCGCACGACGAGAGCGAAGTTTACCTTGGCGGAATCCTTGAGATGCGCCATGCTGGGGTCGTTGATGGGTTTGCCGCTGGCAGCCTTGGTGGCGTGTATAAGATCGCCCAATGCGGAGGCGACGTCCTTCACGGCGTTGATGAGCATCACCTGCGCCTCCGGATTCTGACTGCCCAGACTGGCCGCGCCGTATTTGACGACCTCGGCCAACTGAACGATGGTAGAGACAGCGTTCTGCGCCGCTACGGCCAACTGTTCCTGCGACGACGCGGCGCCGGCGACCAAGGTTTTCGTGTCCTCCACCAGGGCCTTCGCGGTCTTCAGGATGTTCTCACGATGATCGGCAAACGTGTCGTCCTCGTTTTCAGCATGCAACGTACCGGCGGTGGCGAACATGATGGTAGTGTCGAGGTCGCCGATGATGCCGGACACGGTGCTGGCTGCGTTGATGCACGCTTGGGTACCGCGCGAACCAGCTTGCAGAGCGGCCAACACCTGCGACACTTTCTCTGTCACGACCTTGCTGTGCTCGGCGACGTCGCGCTGTGCGTACACGTCGCCAGGCGACATCTGACAGATGCCGGCGGCACGTACTATGTCGGCGCAGGCACGGCCGAGTCCTTGAACGCCCGTCCGTAATCGCGCCGACACGTCGGCGTTTGAAGCTGCTGCGGATGCTCCGGAGGTGTCGCGGGCCAGCTGAGTGTACTTGTGAGATATGTCGACCGCCAGTGGACCCAGTCTAGCCACGTCGGTGCTAGATTTTGTTGACTGTAAACGGAAAGAGAACGTGTTAAGCGAATTAAGTTGTATGCTCTACAAATATATGAATATAAATATATGCATAATATAATTGGGTGTGTATAAATTTATGTATATAAATTGTATATAATGTAAATATATAATTATACACGTATATAAATATAAATTTTAACTAAGAAAAGTAGCGAAAAGGGAAACAGGTAACTTGAGAAGTAACGCGTTGTTTCGAACTTGAAGACGGTAATGACGTTGACAAATCATGCATCTTTTCGACAGCGACTTGGTGACGACTTGGTCATTTCCCTTAATAATGATGAAAATAACACAATTATATTTGTTACGTGACAATAGCAGACACTTTTCAATGAGCAATGGCAGTCTATTTTGAAAAAAGTTTCCCAAGTCTGACCTGTTGGAGAAGAACTTACCATTTCTTGTGCCAACCGAGCGATCTCCTTCGCGGCTTCGACCATCCTCGTCTGGTAGTCGACGTAAGAGTCCACTGTGTCGATGGTGGACATCCGATGATCCTCCAGTCGGACCATCGCGCGGGAAATCGTGTCAATAAGACCGGTGACGATACCATGCGACGTCGATATGGTCCCGAGGGTGTGCTGCAACTCCTGGAGTGCGTCCTTGGTGGACTCGACGGTCTCGTCCACTTCGGGGTGCAAGGCGATGGCCTTCAGGTTGCCGCCGGACTCTTTCGTTACGTAGATCAACTGCAGAGCGGACTCGGCCACAGTCTTAGTCTGGTCTAACAGTACCATCTGCTGCTTCGAGTGCACCATGTTGGACGCGGCCCCGATGGCGCCGGAGACGAGCGGTTCCGAGTAGAGCGCGATCTGATTGACGGCGTGGCCGAGGTTTTCAGCCTCGCATATCGCCGCGATGCGCAGCGGCTCCAGCTTCTCGCGCAGCTCGCTCGCGCTGCTCTCCATCTGGTCCGTGAAGCCCTGCATAGTGTTTTCGCGACGCGGTACCAACGACTGTGAGACCGCGCTCAAAGATGCGGCGTCCAGCTCGCGGATGCGCGCTGACAACTTCTCGATTGCAGCGTCACATTCCTTTTGACCGGGCGCTTTGTCGCGTATCGATGCTACCAGCGACTTGATCGAGTCGCTCACGCTCTTGCTGTGGTTCGCCAACAGCTGCCAAGTCGGCGGGTCCTTCGGGCTGATCGCTAGGCTCTTGGCCGCTTGCACCATGGCGCACGAGCCGTCGATGATGGACTTGCCGGCGCTCGTGATCGGCTCCTGCGCCGCCCTCGCCGCGACGGATATCTTCGCCGGCTGACTCACGAATTCCGGCGAGCTTGCAAAAGTGCAGAGATTGTCGACTGCCTCCAGCAGCGGTTTCGTCGCCTCCGCGCACTTCTCGCGATTCACGTCCGAATAATTCTGATCGAGCGCCTTGATCTCCTTTACCAGACAGGCTGTCGAGTTGGCGACGTCTTTGGCGGACTGGACGAAATGTCGCTTAGCCACCGGGTTGCTGGTTTTGCTGGAGGCGACTCTGCAGGCGTTGCAGAGGGCACTGGTGTGCTTGGCAATCATGGTCGCGGCTGAAAGCACCTGTTGCTGCGTGCTTGTCGGATTGCCCAGGCTCTGGCAGCCTGTGTGAATGGCCTGCGCCGCGCGGAGGAATTGGGCCTGGTCTACCAGGCCTGGCTTACCCGCTACGGATGTGGGGTCACTCACTCCAGCCAAGTAGGCTGCTTGAGCCGCGGCTTCTATCAGGCCGCAGATCGAGGAAGAGACCCCTTTCACCGCGACGGAGAATTGCGAGTATTCTGATTTCTTGGCGTGGTTCGCGATGCCGGTCATACCGTCGCCCAGGCTCTTGCTCTTCTCCATCACGGTCTCCAGGCACTCGAAGTACGAGGCGTCGGAGATCGGCTCGTTCGGATTGTCCAATAACGACCGCATGGACTGAATGTTCCTGATGGCGTTGTCGCACTCGTTCTGCCCAGGCGCCGCTGACGTGCACACGTCCACCAGGTAGTTGATGGAGTCGGTGACGGCGCGCGCCGCCGCCGACAGTTGGTTCTTGGCATTCGGGGTGGTGGGGTCCGCTGAGATGGATTTCGCAGCGAGGAGGAGCTTGCAGGATGTCATGCTGACGTTCTTTAGCGACACCACCACCTGGCTGCGCGGCTCGTTTGCCGTCTGGCCCGCCATCTGGATACCCACAGACAGCAGGTCGTTGAAGGCATTGGCGAATTGACGCGACGAGCTCGCGAGCTGTACGGCTGAGCGCACTGACGACACTAGGTTCGAGGAAGCGTCGTTCAGATTGGCGGCCGCGTTGTTCAGGTCGTTCTGTAGTTGCCTGTGAAATTGTAGAAATACAACGTCTATAGAGGTACAACGCCTGTGTATGTATGTGTGTATGTATGTATGTATGTATGTATGTATGTATGTATGTATGTATATATATATATATATTTATCGTACGCCAATTATTACCGATACGAATGCAGTTTGAGCGATAAGAGAGTACGCGAAAGATACCGTGCAAAAATAAAAACTAGAACAAATGCAACAAGTGAGGGAATCCAGGTCATGTTGATCATAAGTTTCGCTTGCATAATACATTTGTGTTGTGAGAGTAAGAAAGGAACCACAAGGTGTCCCTTGTAGAGGGACTTGTAGCGCTTCTCTTCTTTGAGTTTGATTCAAAATGGAGAAATGTATTGCGGTTGTGATGGAGAGAATATGTCTAAGAACTCGGGAGCAGACGAGGACATTTCTGAGCTTCTCAAAACATATTACTGTTATGATGTTATGAAATATACTAAAAGTGTTATGAATATATCAATTTCCCCCGACGACAGTATCAGTCAGTAGCATTGTATCGCGCGTAATGGTAATAAAATCGATATTAGAAAGTAATTAATTTTAGCCAGAAGCAGATTTGTATTAAAGAGGAAATTAATTTGTATTAGAAGCGGACATTTTTTTACCAACAAAGTTGTTTTTATTAACGACGTTATTAGTTCCAAAAGTTCTGAAAAGTATCATCTCGCTCCCTTCACGTTTCTCGCGACACGCAATTATTCAAGGACAGGCGCGAGGATCGTCGAAGTATCCATACTTACCCATAACTCTTGTCAGTGTACAGGAATTCGTTCGTGCTGAGCACCTGGCTCAGGTCCTCTATGTACTGTATAGCCTCGTCCACGTCTTGTTGGCCAGGCAGACAGGAGACGCACTTGTTCAACGAATTGGAAACGTCCTTCGCCACGACAGCCAAATTGGCTTCATTCTCCGGATTTTCTGGATTCTTGAGCACGCGGCGCGCCTCTTTGACCAAGTGCAAAGATCGCAGGATCACGTCGTCCGCCGTCATCAGCACCTTCTTCTGCATCTCCGGCTGATCGGATGTGGCCGCTACGCCGCGAACAGCGTAAGCGAGGTCTTTCAAGGCCGACGCGGTCTCCCGGGCGGCACTTCCGGTGTAGTTCTCGTTACCCTGCTTGGCGGCGGACAGCAGCTGCGCCATGGCGAATCCGACATTTTTCGATGTGGCGCCAAGTCGCAGCGCGGTGGACTCGGTCGTCTCCTCGGGCAGTGGTCTCAAGGAAGCGGCTTCGACGGCGCGGTAAAACTCACCTAACTCGTCCTTCAAGCTGTTGATCAACTCCTCCGCTGCGTCGAGCTCCAATCCGCCGCAGGCTTCTCTGGCGCGCGTTACCGCGGATCTCAGATCTGCCAGGGAAGAACCTAGCTGCTGTGAGGTATCATTCAATTGCATAGCGGACGCCTGATCGGTCACCGTTGGTAACACAGCCCTGGTCGCCTTCACCACGGCGGTGGCTGGGTGCAGGAACTGCTCAGAGGCGTTTATCAGATTCAACTGCGCGGTGGGAACATCCGGTGATGTTTGCGTGCCCTTCACGCCGGATACCAAATGGGAAATGTGTTGAGCCATCGCACGACATTCCATGTTGAGTTCCTCTTGACTGGCTGGGTTAGTATTATGATGCGCGACGCCGGAGGACGCCGCGATGCACTGTGTAGCCGTAGCGGCCGCCTGCTTAGCGCATGCTTCCAACCTGGTGATAAGTTTCCAGCGCAACGCCGGTGTTGCTGCCGCGGTAGTCGCAGCACGTAACTCTTCGGCCGCCTGGCGTAGCCGATCCTGCATCTTGGCGTCGTGCGGACTGCTAGCGCACTGTCGCGCCGCCTCCACCATCTTAGCAGTAGCGTCGGCCAGTAGCTTAGCAGCGGCCAACAGACGCTGCTGCTGTTCTGAGTCCGTCTGCTTCTCAGCCTCGCCTTTGATGCTTTGAATCAGCTGGGCGGTCGCTTGACCGACCACTCGTGCTTGGCGCACCATCTCGCCAGCGTCGCCGGTGCTCGCGAATAGTTTGTCCGTTGCTACCAGTATAGTCTCCACCGCACCCTCTTGGATGGTGTCCTTGGCACGTTCGCTCCTGGTGGCGGTCTTAATGTGATTAAGAAGGTCGTTGAGGGTACGGCTGACCTCGCTGGCGGCGACACTCAGTTCCTTCAGCAGATTCTCGTCGCTGCAAGTCTCGTTGCAGACTTGGACCAGGCTTTCGACGGCTCTGGTCACCTCGCGGACGGCGTTCATCAGCTGGGTCTGGCACGCAGGCGAGTGCATGGTCGGCGCTACCACTTTCGCGCAGGCAACGAGCTGCGACGTGGCTAGCGCACACTGCGTCGCGGCTGAAATCACCTTGTTCTGGGTGGCTGAGTCCTCGCAGGTGGCCGCTATGTTCTTCGCTTTCAGCACGAGTGCTGCGGTAGTGTTTGCCACGGCCTTCGCGAGCGCCAGCAACATATCCTGCAGCTCGCGGTTCGAGTCGTCCTCTTCGCCGATGGTCGTCAACACTTGGTGCGAAGCCTCGCCGACACGCGACGCTGCGTTCAGCAGATTCTGCCGCGGCTGGAAAGCGAACGATGAAAGCGATTAAAATGCCGTCAACGGCCGACGCGAAAGATCCAGTAAACGCGACGACGTATTAATAACATATTAGAGTACATTATTCTCTGGGAAATCATTTTCTGGGAAAAGTCAACGAAAATGTCGAAAGAAATTGCAATGCCAAGTCATATCGTAATAAATATTCTTACAAGCATGGCTGATTAAATCAAACCTATTTAAGTATACTCATACAGTCATTTCTTTTGCAATGGCTGTATTTCCAAAACTATATTCTTGCTTGCGCGTTTACACATGTACTATGTCCGAAATGAAAATCGCAAGAAAAATCTGTTCTCGAGAATCATTCTCAAGTCAAGAAAAAAGAATCGAGTTTATGCCAGATATTTTCGTGGATACTCTTAACCAACGAAAAAAAGATCGCTCAGCTTTTAAAATAATTTTTCAGTAAAAACTGGTGCATGAGATAGTTGGCTCATAAAACAAACGCCTGAAGAATTGAAAATCCTGCATTCGCAGGATCAACTGAAGAAGGAGGGATACGAACGTGCCTGTGAAAGCAAGTCTAACTCGTGTGTCTACGCTACGAGAAGCTGAGGTATTAGTGCTTACATATTGTCCGTAGAGCGTAGACGTAATGTAGAAAGGCTGCGGAGAGAAAGAGGAGACTTTGAGACGACACACACGACAGGATATTCTACTTCTACCGTACGTGTTGGAAGTACGCATACACACGCGAGTGTATCTCTTCTCCTCACTCGGCTGCGCGAGCGAGCGATCACTCACCTCCTTGGTCTCTGGCTCCGTGGCTTTCAGCAGGTCCGAGAACGCTGTGCAAAGTTTCCGAGCGGCGTCCAGCAGTCGTTCGCCGGACGACTCGTCGTCCATGAGGGCGGCTATCATTCTCACGCCCTTCGTCATCTCCGGTAAATTCGTGGCGATTGTCGTGATCGCGGCGCCCACCGCGGTGTGGTCCACGTTGTCCGCCGGCCCTGAGGTCAGCGTGACCACCTGGGCGGTGGCGGCGTTCATCGCCGCGATCTGCGAACCCACGCTCTGCTTGTGGGTGTCGATCGTTTCCTCGATCCATCTCAAGGATGCCGGATCGGTGCCGAGGTTGGGCATCTCCTCCATCGTCAGGAGCTCGGCCTTCGCGGCGTGGATCACCTCGTGACCGGCGGTGATGGTAGACAGTAAGGCACGTTGCGGTTCAGACAGGACGGATGTCACTTTGGTTTGTTGGACCTGGTTCATCGAACAGTCGCGTGTTACAGAGGGAGAGTCGCTTCGGCCAAACGGCACTGCTAAACGACGCGTGAGGAAGGATGTTCTCCTTGATGAACGTTCTCCAGGAGAACGAACGTAAACGGGGGAGAGAGCGTATGCGCGTATACATGACGAAGCAGTAAACTGCAACCAATAGTTGCGGCGATACAGAGTTTACCGAGCGACCGAGCTGAGCGCGCACGACTGTTCCGACTGGCCGTGAGAAGGCAAATCGAACTCTGCAAAACGTGCGACGAGATATACAGAGGTACATTTTTCTTCTCATCAGACTTGGGAAGTCGAACACATTACTCGGAACGTTGTTACCGTCGCGAGTTGCTTCTTTTCGGTAATGACCTGGACGTTATTTCCTCTCGCTAGTGACGTTGAAGGTATTTCTTTTCCGAGTAACTAGATATAATCGTTATTTTGTAATTTTCGTTATATACAGAAGTCACGCAGGATGGACGGAAAGGAATCACACAAGGGTCTTTGGAACTTGGTGAAAATAACAACGACTCGTGAACGAAAAATAATAAAAAAAAAGAACGAATCAACGACTCGATGAAAATTGTAACTTCTCGAGCAACTCGTAAGAAAAGAAAAGGAAAAAAAAAGTACTTCCCAAGCCTCCTGCATCCTTCCAGTTCAGCAGTAAGCACCGTATACGTAACGCGTAACGCGGATAAAAATCGCCCGATGAACGCGAGACGCAACGACGAGTCGTACACGATAAATAAATGAATAAATAAAAGAACCAAACGGAGGATTCATCAACCGAGAAGTAAAGAGGATAACTGAAAATGTTATCTTAGTGTACCTACTCTGTGTCCGCAATAGAAGGCGCCTAGCATGAAAATAAATTTAACCGTCTATTAGTCCCTTGGAGTCTCTCGCTTTAGCGTGCAGTACAACTGATTTCTTTTTCTTTTCTTTTCTGTTCACTCATACTCAGTGATCTTACAGGCATTCATTGAAAGAGTGCGATACCGTGCCAAGTGCGCGCGTGGCGTGTATACGTGAGTATCAATCGTGAGTCGTTTGACGCGGGTCCGTAGTCGTCGGCGCGGCGACTACGTGTCCGAGCGGTCTCGGCAGAGCACAATCTCTCTCTTTTTACACCTCGAGGCGCGCATATATATATATATATATGTATATATGTATATTTATAACAAGCAACTAAAAAATACCGACATCTAAGGTGAGCGGCAAGCTTGGGCGCTTCTCAGCGGAGGCTTACCATAGGCGGAGCGTGCGCGATGTTCACCTGTCCGCTGACGGTTGTGTATTGAGCACCGCCTACGTGACCGGTTCCATATGGCCGGGCCCCTACAAATCACACACCATGCACTCTAATCTAGAAATCCCGACTTCTATATTTACAACTACCGATCGAGTCCTCGATATCGTGAGTCTGTTCGCGTTCCAGGGAGAATGACTTGCCGCTACTACGCTGACAGAAAAGCTGGACTTTATGTCATTTTTTTTCTTTCTTTTTTTTAGCTTCTCAGTTAATCAACTCCTCGTCGTAAGCGACACTATCACGAACAAATGCTCGAAGCTAAACACGTGTATTTACAGAAAGGTGGAGATATGTATATATATTATGTACAGTAACATTGACCAACAGCCAGGATCCGAGGATTCAATCGTGCAAAGGATCGCTAATTGATCTCTCTCTCTCTCTCTCTCTCTCTCTCTCTCTCTCTCTCTCTCTCTCTCTCTCTCTCTCTCTCTCTCTCTGTCTTGCTCCAAACATATCGAGCAAAAAAGCAGAGGCGGTGTTTCGGGATGTAATTCACGCTGCTTAAGAGATTTAAGCAAGATGTAATCTTCAATTAGTAAAAATCATCAACTTCCAAAAAAAGCGGAAACGGGCACTAAAGTTGAATGATCAGCAAGAATTCTTTGGAATTTTTTAGAAGAATAAAAATAAATTTTTATACACATCTAATTCACGTGACACTTATAATAAATGTCTTCCTCGCGAGTTATAGAAAAGTAAAATAAAATATAAAATGAAAGATAGAACCGTTAAGACGCTTACCGTCTCCTCCGGCTCTCATGACAGCTGGAATTGCAACCGAGACAGCTTCCACATTTCCTTTGCCGACATTGCTAGTCTCGTGTTGCATGATGGTGGCCCTGTCGAAGGATGAGATGCGTAAATAAAAATCCCAAGTGAAACCTCGATGAAACTGCGATCAATTTCGACGACAAATAGTAACGGAGACGACGTAGAAACTCCCTCATGATCATGGCAGACTAACTCGTGAAATATTCTCGCGGTCTAACACGCGAGTAAAGTTGTTCACGAGTCTGACCGATCGGCAGCTGATAATTGTTCTAACACTCTTCCAATACAGTGATTATCACTTCACTCGCGAAGTGCGAAGTGAACAACGCGCGCGATAGAAACATGAAAAGGACTCACTTGAGCGGCGACACGCTGTCCTCTACCATGGTGGATCCTTCGTCTCCCTCGATGCCGAAGTGATCTTTCGCTTTCTGCTTCTTCAGGATGATGTCGATGTAGCCAGAGATTAGCTGGAGAATTTGCTCCGCTTCGGTGGTCTGCACGCTGTAATACTGATCGGAGTAGTCGCCAAAGTCGAGGGTGAACGTGTTCGGGGAGGCACCCCAACGTCGCACGGTCGTCAACGGCCACGTCTTCAGGATCTCCTTGGTCTTTTCATCGAGTCGTAGGACCGAGTCCTTTGTTACACCGAGCAGACGTGGCACCAGCTTGTTCTTGCCCTTCATCTTCTCCTTCACCAAGAAGAACGTGACGCCGTACGTATTGAGCGACCGGGCAGTCTTCGTGTATAGGACTTTGGCCTCCAGCTCCGACAGGCCGATGTGCTTCTTGTGTTCCGCGTAGATCTTCTTCTCGATTCCTTTCGACTTCACATACGATTGCGGCAAGAATTCCTTGAGACTGCGAAGAAGAAGTTCAGCGTACAGTGCACGAAACTCCAGTTAGAATTGGGATCTCGCGAGAGCGTGTATCGAATTACTACTTACTCTAAGAAACCAGGCTTATGCTTTTCTTCCTTGTGATCACCAAATTGAATCTGGCACTGAATCCCAGCAAAAACACAAGCCTTTTCCTGCGTTATCGGATGCGTACCATCAAGAATCGCGTCTCGTGCTTGCACGTACAATAACGACAGCTGCACGGGATCGCGACTATCGATATTCTGGTCCGAGAAGAAGAACTTTCTCCTCAGCAACACTGTTTCAGACTCGTCGATACCTTGCTCGCGCAGAGTTTTGCTGGGATCTATCCAATTCACTGTGAAACGAGCGATGCAATGTTAATAAAAAAAAAAACTGGGCCCTTGTTTATCGAAAAAAGAATCCAAACCAAAATAAAAGTTGTCACTTGCGATATTAAAATAATATTGAAATTATCTAGTTCAACCAGACAATGTATCGTCGCATTTGCATAAAAATTATAAATATTTATTAATTACCAATAAGATCAACTAAAAGTAAATTCTGAATTATTTTGAAATTTATTGTTGCAATATTTATAATTTTCCGAGCGATATTTCGTTCGGTATGTACTGAGACTTATATCGATTTTACTGATCCGAAAACGCATGGATTAAACTTTAATAAGCTTTAATAAAACAGCTGTGTTCGCGCGTCAATGTTCACCTTCATCGTCGGTCTTCAGCTTCTTCCTCAGCTGATCCATCTTGGCATCTCGCTCACCCTTCTCCTCTTTCCTCCGTTTCAACGTGAGAGTACCGAAATTGCCGGGTTTCTGGTTCTCGGTCTCCTCGTCTACGAGCTCGCGCACCAGGGAATATTCGTCGTGATTCGTGATGCCAATCTTTGTACATATCACTACCATGAGATTTGCCACTGGCTGGCTATCATCCACCAACATAGTCTTCAGGGTTCCATCCAACATGCGGACTCTGAGCGTACGGAGCTTACGACGATACTCGAGCAAATCCCCATTCCTCAGGATGTAATAATCAAGGTTTCGCCCGGGCTCGAGCCAGACACCCTTCTTCACGTCTTCGTCGGAAAGAAAGAGTCCGTAGTCTTTCGCTGCGAGAATAATAACGTGGATGACGGTGTCTTCGCGAGTTAACGTGAATTTGATATTCGATATATAGATAACGATGGCAGAGAGACCTTGACGGAACGGGTGTTTCGTTGCAACATTAATTTTATTTAAATTAAATTTTTATTCAAATTTTATTTTACTTTCTTTTATTAAGAAGAAATATGACTGAAAATCTGGCAAACTCCTGTAGTAGCATCGTCTCGTTAGCCGAAATATTTTATTTTTACGTTAACGAAATGTTTGCGAAATGGTTACGATAAATCTTTACGAAATCTTTTCTTTTACCATAAGTTGGACCCGTACCGGCGAAATCCGATGTGTGAAATCCGACGAAATGTCGGAACGCAATATCAGAGCACTTACGTTGACCCATGTTGCTGGCTTCAGCGAGTTTTTCCCTGATAATGCGGCAGGCGTCGTAGACCGACGTGCTGGGATCGAACTGCATCATCTTGGTGGCATTCTTCTCCGGTATGGAGATGCGCAAGGACAGCGTGGCCATTGCGATTGCCTGCGGTGATCTTCGGCGTACGCGAAATCCTCCAGAATCACTCGACTGGAACAAACGCACGCGCGCGCGCGTCACGAATAAAGTCACAAAGTCCATCAACGTCGAGAGACAGTCGAGCGGCCGCGGGTGTTAATTGACGTCTCGTTAACCGTTCGTTTAACCGGTGAATATTTCATGTTTCAGAACGAGAAATGAAGGCTTCCTCACATAATATCTCGTTGCATGCACTTCCTCCGTCGCATGCAACGACGCCCGTAAAATTATCAGGGAGCACGCAATATTACCGTATAAACCCGTAATCTGAAGGATTATGCGCGGCCACGCGCAATTTCTGCTTTACGACGAAATTCAACGCAACAAGTTGCAAGGACCCCGAGTCCCGTCGCGGAGTTCATCGCGCCGCGAGGGTAGTAACGAGCCGATCGTTGAAATAATTGAAGAACACGTAAGTCGCGGCGCTGGTCTTTATGCAGGTCTTGCACGCAATTTGCGAGGCGATTACGGGAGCGCTTTGCGGAGAGCAAATTCCGAGTAGCGCTTTTCACGTGATATTTTACGAGCGAGATATTCGGAAAGAGCGTCGTGGGAGGCGAAGGCAACGGCATCGCCTCGCGATTGCTCGTGGGAACGAGACATCGACGTCGACGTCGACGGATTAAAAATGCCCCGCGCCGGTGGACTGAAAGAGGAAGCCATCGTGGGACTTGTGTCTATATATCGATCTCTCTGCCATGGTACACACTACATTTACCATAGAATTTGCCACGGGGTGCAGTGCCACGAATCCTCCACCGGCGTAGAATCGACGCCGGGAATATGGGTGAAGTAAAAACGCGCTCCCACGACGCGCGATTCAACCCTTCTCGAGCATTCGATTCGAGCAATCGAGATCGAAACACACAGAAATACAAAGACAACAAAAGCCACATTGCGAGGAGGCGACCGGGTGAACTCCCTTTTCTACATTGTAAACTCGTGGAGTCGGCGAATATTTCCACATTTTCCCAATCTCCATTCTTCACGAGTTTACGAGTTAAAGGAAAAGACTCGCGATCGACTTGCTGATAGAACGCGAACAAAGTTTCGGCTAATGGCGCAATTTTTTAACAAATACAACTCGAGCTACAGAGAAACGTCTCGACCGTTATAACCGGTCAAAGTTCATCGAACAGCAAAGATAACGACACACAACTGCAAGAGTCGACCGAATGATAGACGAGGGGTGAAGCGATTCTCCCTCTCGGTAATATTAAGATACGATATTAAATGCACAGCTTCTCTCTTTCTCGCTCTTCTCGCGTGCAAAGAAAGGAAGACGAAGGATAACGAGCCGTTTATTGCGCTCTCAGTTGCTCGTCTCAACGGTGATTATCTAACAGGATGTCTCGTTGAGACGCGGAGACGCAATCCGCGGCATGACGCGGTGGATTAAGCCAGTCGCGACATCAAATCCAAATCAAGTTATTTAGCTCAATTTCAGATATGAGAACCCCGAAAGGGTGACGTAAAATAGCTCGAGTGTAGCGTGGCTCCTCGGCCACTTCATCAGGGTGGATTGCCGTCTTGGCGATTTGTATCACATAGAAAGAGAGAGGGAGGGTGGGTGGATGGGGAGCGCAGAAAGAGAAAGAAAGAGAGAGAGAGAGAGGGGGGAGGGGAGAAAGTGTGATTATTTGCGACAATACCGCTGTCATTAGACGTCATGAGAATAAATAGTCAATTTCGTTGTATTCATCCGGTATGCCGTCGATTATACCGCCAGGTTCATTCACGCGTTTTTCCACGTGTTTCCGCGGGCCTGGAGGACGGAGGGGGAGAATGAAGGGAATGGTAATGGCACATAAATTCGTCGCAAGTATACCCTACGCCAATGTGGGTTTCCACCCTTAGAGGTTGCCAGGCAACGCCGGTCTCTGACTGTGTCAAACTCCGAGCGTAACCCCCTCCTCCTTCAACCCTCTACCCCATACTACGTACACACATATGCGCATTCATGTATACAGCATACACCCATACATACACATACGCGCACATACCCATCACCACGACACCACGACTACCTTTCTTACAAGCTCTCTCGCCCTTTCTCTCTCACCCCCATATCCCATCCTCTCGGTGTCTGGTCTTCGTTTTCTCTCGCCGGCAATTTTCACCCAATTAATGTATGGTTTTGATTTCATCGCGCGTGTCAAATTTCTGACCCCGGGCTGAACGTGCGATCGTCGACGCGCTGGAAAGTGGCGGGGGCGATGGGGCGCGCGGTGAGAAAAATGACGATGAGAGAAGTGGGATGAGCCAAGCCCGAATCGAAGGACTAGCTCCCAAAGTTTAAGTATTAACTAAATCTAAATTATTCTCTCTCGCTAAATTTCGGACAACCAAGTCCAATCCACACGAAAAACGAGAGAGTGCGGCGATTTCGTGATGAAACGCGGACGATCGCAGATTGTGTTTTGTATCGGCAAACGATGTTGAATCACGAAAAATAGAAAGGAATTAAAAATCGTTCTACTTCGATACGATGGACAATGTATATTGTAGTCTATGCAATTGGCGGATAATTGCACGCTTATTCGCTTCGGGAAATAATTAGTCGGTAAAATAAGGCGAAGACGAGATATTATTTGCGCTACGAGAGATCGATCGGCACACTGCCGGCTCGTGCGTCCGGTTTAGTCGCAAACATTCTACCTTCTCCCCTCACCCCGTCCCCTCCCCCTCAGCCTCTTTCCCTCAAAGATACGAACTGATTTTTTGCCGTGAGCACCATGCGCGAAATCGCCGGGAATCGCTCTTTTTTCCTCCTTTTGTAGCGAAAGGCACGAGACAAAGTGAATATCGGAATGTCGGAATGCAAAAAGAGAAGGAGAGAAAAAAAATCGCACAACAGCTACGGGCAATCGCTAACAGAGCCGGCGGCACTTTGCCGCTGAAATTGAAACCACCGGCTACAAAGTTACTTCATTCGATTCGCAATACGTCACCTTCCTACACTCGCACGAACTCGATTCAGAGGAATGACCTCATTACATACAACTGCATCATCAATTCCATACGTACTGCTGACGGGACGGGAAGAGGAAGGAGGGAAAGAGAGAGAGGGCGGAGGAGGACCACTTCTCGACAATGCTGGCATTGATATTGCTGGAAATTGAATATTCTTACGAGGGAGAGAGAGAGAGAGAGAGAGAGAGAGAGAGAGAGAGAGAGAGAGAGAGAGAGAGAGAGAGAGAGAGAGAGAGGAATCCCGTCGGCGCAACATCCATCATGACTGGCGATAAAGTGACGCCGAATATATATTATAAACGCGGAGTTTTCATTAACATTTTATACGCGACCGTCAATTTCGAGCAAACAACGAACAACGGGATGAAAACGAGAAAGAAGAAAATTGCAGCCGGAAGGGATTATTTAACACGGCCGAGTCCATGTACTCCCTTCCTGTTACGTACAGAGAAAGCGACGGGAGCGCGATTTTCGCGACAATTCCGATAAAGAGACCGCGATAAAAGGGGCGGAAGAGACAGATCGTTGCGCGCACGTAAAGGAAAATTTGTTTACGTAATACAATAAAACCGCCTCTTTATCGGCGCGCACTGCGGCGACCGTTCTTCCGACGTACTAAAACAAACCCGAGCTCCTCTCGTCTCGTCTCGATCGAGAGAACTCCAATATCTCTTTGATGCATTAAAATAAATTCGCGGCCATTATCCTCCTTTATACACACGGCCCGTAACGTCAGCGGCGTTTCCTCCGCGGTTTTTTCCCAGCGCGGCGCTTCAATACCGTCGATTGCCGAATATCAAACGCGCGCGTTATTATCGAGAGCGGTGAGCGTGCGTTCTAAATGACCCGCATCGCGAGAAAGCGAGTGAGAGAGAGAAAGAGAAAGAGAGAGAGAGAGAGAGAGAGAGAGAGAGAGAGAAACAACGAGAACGCGATACGCGAGACAAAGAGGGAGGCGGGCGGAGGCAGAGAGAGAGAGAGAGAGAGAGAGAGAGAGAGAGAGAGAGAGAGAGAGAGAGAGAGAGAGAGAGAGAGAGCGAGCCGGAGGGGAAACGGCACAATGAAGAGTACGATGATTCGCGTTAATCAAAAGCTCGGTTTCTAAAATTAGACCTCGTACATAAAGGGAGAGGGAGAGAGAGAGAGAGAGAGAGAGAGAGAGAGAGAGAGAGAGAATGAGAGAGAGAGAGAAAGAGAAAGAGGGAGAAGAGCGTCCTCATAGTATCCGCTGCAGCGATGACACTTGACGCGAACTAATTGAGGCCGGCGATCCGCGGCGCCGCGGCTAACGAAGACGCGATTATGCCGTATGCTCTACAAAATCGGCTAATCCGGGCCCTCGGATCTACTCTCTAATGGAACGTGCCGCGCATACGTGCCAATCAGCCCGAAATCCTCCTCTGCCGCTCCTCTGCCATCGCCGTCCCCGCCGCCGCCATCGCCGCCACCGTCCCCGCCGCCGCTGCCGCCGCCGCCGCCACCGCCGCCGTCGTCGCCGCTTATCGTGGAAACGGCGGAATCTATAGTGGAAACGTGTTAATCTGTCGCGGCCGGGCCCTCGTCATTTATCATCGCGACGCGTCGCGACGCGACGGCGAGGCGAGCCGCGCGATTGAATAGTTTCGGACACGTTATTTACCGCGCGCTAAATTTCCCGACGACGGCGACGGCGACGATTCTCTCTCTCTCTCTCTCTCTCTCTCTCTCTCTCTCTCTCTCTCTCTCGCAAAAATCGCTAATTCGCCGTGACGCGATCACACGGCCATTGTTTGCACGGGCGATTCTCTCTCGGCCTCGTTAACGCGTTGACCTCCATCGTACCGTACGAAAGCCCGAATTGATGGTCGAGTTGTTAAAGATACGGTAAATAAATGTAATTTCGGATACATCCGTTGTCTCGTTTCATTGGCTCTCCATTGACCGCGCGATTAATTGCGCGCAGATGCAATTTATCGTCAGAGGTAGCCGTGAGTAATCGCGTGCTTTAAACGGAGTATCTTTAAAAGCTTTTGTTTTTCAATCGATAATATAATAAGTTGAACACCGCATTCGCAATTAACGCTGAGAAAATATCGCTTCTGTGCTACACAGGTCAAATAAAAACTGACAAGAGCAAGAGAATAAGAGAGAAAAAACATTGAGATTTAATTATGCATCGATGTGTGTGTAAAAAAGTCGGCAAAAGAAAGATGAGACAAATAAGAGATTATTTCCAGGTATGAATTATATTATCTATTAATTTATCATTTGATTTTTACGAACTTAATAACAGCGAGATGAAGAAAAGCAGAGTTGACTGCCGCTGAGCGACTGTAATTGGCTCGTGCCGAGAGGATTAATTAATTTTTGTACGAATCTCGTGAGGGCGAACGAGCACGTCAACTAAGGATACTCGAGATTTATTCGAACTTCGCTCAACTTGGAACTATGCTCGCGAGAATGACTCTGCGTGTTACGTTACGGCGTATCCGTGATCAGTGTTTTCACGGAGAAAACGGTAAAAACCAGTTCCTACAAGTGCATCTATGAGAACACACACGCGCCTTTCGTTGTTGTTGTTGTCGTCGCTATGCCTCAAAATATACGCGTCATGCATATATTCCACGCAAATCGCATTTTCTATGCATTAGAACTGCGCGCTAGAACACTTGCCGCTCCTCCGCTCGCTCTGCTCCGCCTCGCGAAATTAATATTGATAACGCTATTTCCCATTACCGTGTCGTGTAAGTTCTCGCTGTACAACTCGCCTCGCGAATTTGTATCCAAATATTTTGTTCCCGACGAACCTTCGGGAGTTTCTCTCTCTCTCTTTCTCTCTCTCTCTCTTTCTCTCACTCTCTTTCTTGTCGGATGTCATTGGTCACGGGTGATTGAACTGAAGACTGATAATTACAAGCGTATTCCCTTCGCCCCCCTGCCGTCCCAGCGACCGTGTAAATAATAACAAATACGAGTCACCGAGGTCAACAGTCGCGTTACCTACGAGACGAGCAATTGTACGTCCCGAATCGCGTACGATCGATTCGACAGTTAAAATCGTAAATCTGCTCAAACGGATATTTCGCGTTTTACAACTAACCGAGCGACCGAGCCGTCGTTGCAAAATAGCGGCGTGGTTCACGGCTGCCGGTGAATTCCGGCGATAATCGCTCGACCGCTGAGTATTTCATTGTTCAATTACCATCCGCATTAGCGAAGACGAACGAATCGCGAATCGATCGATCGACCACGTTCTGCCATTACTGGCCGATGGCTACGTACCTCGCCGAGAAAAATCGCGATATTTTTCTGCATCTCGCAGGAGGGAGCGGGGAGAGGAGGGAATTTTGCGCGACACCTGGCGCGATAAAATGCACACGGATGCATGTAGATACGTACGCGCTACGTCGGGGCGGAGGGGGGGGGGAGACTAGGTAGGTAGCTACGAAACACTTACTACCATTTACTCTCGCCGCAGTATGTAGTTACCATGCTCCATTCTCGGGGGCGAGTTATAGCGCCGTCGTCAGCTTTTTTAACTTCATCGCCGCCTCACGAGAAGGGTAGTCGGTCGTTCGGTTCTCACCCTCACTCTCCTCCGTGTCCTCCCTCCCGCCCTCTCTTTCTCTCTTACTCTTTCTCATCCCACCTATATCTATTTCTCCCTCTCTCTCCTTCCCCCTCTCTCTCTCTCTCTCTCTCTCTCTCTCTCTCGCCTTTTCGCTCGCCCCCTCCTGCTCTCGCCGCGTCGTTGCCACCCTTTTCGGGTGTCATCACATTTTATCGCGCGTCACTACATCCCCGTCGAACCGTACGAACATAGCTCGCGTTACCCCTCACTGGTCATCCGAATAACTTATTATCCATCTTTACTTTCTCATACACACACACATACACACACACCTTTGCTCATCGTCAATCGCTCCATCGCGGCGACGAGCGCAAGTAAAACGAGTCGTTGCTGGATTTTCGATTTTAGAAATGAGAAAAATGGGGAGCATGAGGCATGAATGAAACGTACAAACGCTACCGGCTATCAAATCTAACGAGGATCTAATCAACATTGAAGCAACGAAGCCATACAGCTCCTTCGCGTGTCGAACAACTTCAACGAACGAAAGTTCACTCAACACAGCTCACACACTTATTCTAGACTAGACCTAGAGTCTACGAGACAACATCTATCCCGCGAGAAACCGACGGGGGGCCTCGTTTGACTAGAGCGGACTAGAGGAGAGAAATTTAGCGCAACGTTATGTTTTGCGACCGACAAGTCTGTTTGGAAAAATACGGAATTTATGCTTCGAGATAAAACTTACAGGGGAGGCAGGAGGCTGAGATTAAACGACGAAAGCCAGAGCGTCCAACAGGAATCGTCGCGATATTCGGAATCGGCACGATGTGTTAAATTTCGCCCAATCAGAAAAATGTTGTTTGATAATTTACGAAATTTTGTCCGACCAACGGCGCCGGTTGTTGCTCACCTCTGCTTGATCGCCAAGTGTCGATTCGCGGCTGTTATCCGTCAAATCGACGCACGGGCACACGCGAGACGACAATTTGACGAAATGAGGCGCGCCGCAGGTTTCTCGCAGCGAGCCAGGCAAGTGCCACGTGGCTGGCATGACGAGCGAGATGACGATGAGGACGCGAATGACGGCGCGGGGTTTACAGTGAGTGAGGGAGTGAGTGAGAGTGAGAGAGAGAGAGAGAGAGAGAGAGAGAGAAATACGTGAGACAGGATGGATGATGATATTTACCTCGGCGATGCATTGTATTGGCTTTTAGCGACCTAGCAGCGACTACATCTATATAGATCTAATTGTGCTACTGTGCGGGTACTGGACTCCCGTAATACCCAAGATCGTGGAACGCTGGGCGCCGGTGGGCGACGTTTCCGGTGCAAGCTTCTCGTGTAAAGGTAATTTACTATCCCTACGAAGCTGCAGCACGGGTTCAGCTCCATCTCTACTATTTACTCGCGATCGCGACTGGCCGGATCCCGGACGCGAGAGGTGATGCTGATGGCCGAATAATCTTAGAAATCCCGCTATTTACATCGATATCCCATCGACCGGTCCAACGACGATTCTCCCGGACTGGACGGAAGTCTCCGGGATTAATGTCGGCTCCACTTGCACATTAGCAACATTACATTAATAGAAGTGGTTGACGGTAGATTAGAAACAAGAGAAAAGATTTCGACTAACCCGCTACCCCCAAGGAAAATCAAGCCCCACCAGGAGCCGGAAATATTCTATAATTCTACTGACTAATGTAAGGACAAAGAGAACGATACGACACGGAGCAAACGTCAAAATTCACTGTAGTCGTCGCTCTCGAGCGCGCTTGACAAGTCAGCGCGACGAGTAAACTGGCACGAGGATGCAAGGTTAATACGAAGAGGGACGACGACTCGCGCGTCACGTCGGTTGCCAGGCGGCCAGGGCGTTATTTTCCCGCACTCGTTATCCCGATAGGTCTTATCGCTCGCGCGCGCTGCCCGGCGTCACTGAATCGTTGCGATTGCGAGGATCGATGGCTTCTTCGATGGACGAGCGCGAGTCTCGCGCGATATGCCCGTTCTTCTCTCGCGGAATACGGGACCGCGTGTGTAACGCGCCGATCTCTCGCCCTCCCCCCCTCACCCTTTCTCTGTCTATCTACCGATTTGTCTATGTATCTATCTATCTATCTATCTATCTATCTATCTATCTTCAACACGCCTGTCTCGTGCAACCGCGGACGCGAAACGAGGCCGAGGCGACGCGGGAGACGCGATCCTTCGGGGCGAGTCGAGTCGAGAGGCTGGAATCGACAGAGACCCCACCGGGAGGTACGCGTCCGCGGTGACGATGACGACGACGAGCTCCACCAAGAACAGACGCGTCCCTTCGATCGCCGGTCAGAAACTGAATGTGGCGCGGTTCGAGCTAAGGCTCGAAATGTAGCCGAGAGGGTTGTCGGGGAGCCACCCCTTGCTCTCGAAGGGGATGCGGGACCCAGAGCGGGGAGTCGGGGTGGGCGGGAGGGGAGAGCGACGACTCTGGGATCCACGTCGGGCATATTCGGGGCTTCTGCGCACTAGTGCCCCAGTAACACACCCCCGTACAGCGGGTGTAGGGAAAGGCTCGAGCGTCTCGCGAGCGCGAGCAAGCGAGCGAGTCGCGTAAGTGCGCTTTTGCTCGATTTTCTCCGGTTCTCGTCGATCGGTCTCTCTCGTTTCTCGAAGCGAATTGGTCTTTTGCGAATTGGAAGTGCCAGCTATGAGAATGACGTGGCAAAGACTGTTGCCGCGATTAGGGTTCATGTGGAAATCTCTGGCACTCTTTGGACATTTTACAGGCGCAATATCGGAATACCGGTGAATTCTGTGGCAAACTAAACTCGCGCTTATCGATCGCGCGACGAGGAATTCTGCGGAAGTTTTCCCGCAACTTCCTCAATTTTTCCGGCTTACCGCGATTCGCCAATTTCGCGGGTGCTTCCTCGACGCGCGCTCACCCCGACTGCCGAAACTGACCCCGAAATCTATTCGCCTGGCACCGGCCCGGTGCAGCTTTTGCGCGTGGGGATCGGAGCCAGCGCTAACCAGGAACTAGCGTTATTGTCGAGCCACAAGGAATAGTCCGCTGGGATTTCAAATAAACGTACACTCGTGTGTCTGGTTGAGTCGTTTTAGTGTCTGGACGTTTGCGACCGAGCGGGGTGACAGATGCGGAAATCATCGATTCTTCCACCACATTGAGGAAGAATTAAAATGAGACGCGTCGCGCGCGCCTTCGCCGCGCGCCACCCCGCCTGTGTGAGACGAAACAAGAGAAAATGAAAAACACACCCGCGACTAATTTCTCTTGAATTTGGGAAGAGTTTACCCGGGCAGTATCGAGAAACGATAAAAATAGAAAGCGAAAGAAATAGAGAGAGCGAGAGAGAGAGAGAGAGAGAGAGAGAGAGAGAGAGAGAGAGAGAGAGAGAGAGAGAGAGATAGACAGATTATCTCACACGGCAGTATATAGCGCTGTATATAAAAAGGGGGAGGGGGGATTAATCCAACTAGACATTTGAACGACATAAGTATCTCGTGAGGAGACGCACGTTTTCCCGACAACGGTTTGCGCGCGTCGAAAGCGACCATCGTGCGTATCGCGAAATTTCATCGTACCTGTTGGACCTGGGTACTTTTGGCACGCTCGTGTCGACGAACTCGGACAGTTATCGTACAGCTACGTTGGAAGATGATTAATAATACTTGAACGTGTGAACAAGGAGTTGTACAGCTGAAAACTGTACTTTCGATAACGCGTTCGATCGTCTGCTCGTGTCGCATTATGAATATTTTATCCTCTCCTTTTCGCCACTTTTTTCGCTCAAATAATTATTTCGGAAACGGACCGCGCGCGAAATATCAAATTTCGCGATCGTGATACGAGCATCTCGCGATACGATGCATCCAGCGCAAACGATAAATACGTATTTTCTGCGATACCGTCCGAAAAATCGCGTCGCTTCCTCCGTCGCCCATCGATCGTTCGCGCGCGACGCGTGTCTTACGATCAATTTTTCTCAATTATCTCGACCCCGTTGTACCGAGTTTCAAAACGGTCCGAGCGGCTTGTTCCTTTTGCACGTAGTTCGGCACGCAGCCGATGGTCCGGCGGGAGAACTTGTTTCTGAAAAATTCCTGCTGAGGAAGTTCAGCTCTCTCTCTCTCTCTCTCTCATCGGACACCCGCTGCGCACCGAACAACGTCCGGGAAGGAAAAAGTGTTCAGACTATTTTGAAAGCCAACGTACGCTTCGTGATTCCGCTCGTTCGTGCAACAATCGGGCATCTCTCAAGACAACTTTATTCCAAGGTATACAAGATTTAACAAATATTTCCGGTCTCTACCGTGAGATCACGTCGTGGAGGAGGGCCGACCGCCTCGGCTTTGACGTTTCAAGCAATTTGACGGCGCTGGACGGTCGAATTTTTGGCTCGCGAAAGAACTGATGCGCGTCGGGCTTGATTGTCATCATCATTACCGCCGCAACGCGGCAGCAGCCGCCCCTCGATAACAGACAATTTCGGTACTCCGGAAAGTCGACCCTCGTATTATACTATCTGATTTCGAGATCACCAGGGGGTCGCTGTTACGACTCGCTCTTAATAATTGAGTACGCTATCTTGATCGCTCCGTACGGCAATCAATTTTGTGTAGCTCACGCGAAATCTTGTTTGTCTGGCTATCCGTTAAATTCGAGTCCGACGCGACTTTTAATTTCGCTCACGCGGGGGGTGGGGGGGGGGCTCGATGACGATGACGCTGATACCTCCGGAAAGGTAGACGGAGGAGGAGGAGGAGGAGAATTAGAGCGGTACCATCGCGTTTTATCAATCTCGATCGAAGCAACTCGCCTCGAGCATCGGTAAATCTTCCCCGCAACGTGTGCTTTTCTCCTCTCCTGTCCTCTTCCTCCCCCTCCCCTCTGCTATCTCGCCGCTCCACATACCTGTATTCTACGTTTGCACGCGATTAATAATACTGATTTACGAGTGTGGGAATGCCCTCCCGCGCGACAGGTATTTTCACGAAGCTAGAAACGATCTAGAGCGTACGACGCGCCGACGATTTGTTATACAGTTAAACTTAATTAATTTAATTAAACGCGTTTATACATATACATATATATATATATATATATATATACACAGAGCGACGTTGCATCGCAAAGAGAGACGCGCGCCACAATGGACTATTCGTCTGTAAAAAACCGGATTCCCGACGTTTCTGCTTCTTTACTTTCTCTTCTTTACTTTCCTGTCTCTTCGCCAACGCTTCCACAACCCTCCCCGCAACCCACCCCCCAGGACGACGTAGCTTCACGCGAATGCGTGCAGCGCCACGAAACTTCACGCGCTAAAAGCTCGCGCAGCGAGATGTTGCTGCCGTGATGAGCGCAGTGCGACGACGCTACTACTTTGCGAGCATTCCCTTGCCAAAACTACGAACGTCAAGTGGCGAGAAAAAGCGGCGGCGGCGGCGGCAGCGGAGAAATATCGTTTCATACAACTCTCTATGTTTCGGTACTCACCGTGTTCTTGCTGCTGCTGTCGTCATCGTGGTGTCACTTGATCGCGTCCGTAGGATCGTCTTTCGCCCCGACGACATTCGTGACGTTCGTGGACGTGCAACGCGAGTTTCAAGACGGCACCGAGAGGAGAGAGAGAGAGAGAGAGAGAGAGAGAGAGAGAGAGAGAGAGAGAGAGAGAGAGAGAAGAGAAGGAGAAGAGGACGAATGAAAAAAACAGAGAGAGAGAGGGAGAGAGAAACAGAGAGACAGAGACTTCTACGTCTACGAAGAGATTACAAAGCCGTCGCGATCTTCCCGATCTTCCCTAAGCTGCCCGAGATCTTCGGCCGAGACGTGTCTTCAGGATTCGGGTGGCACGAAGCAGGTGGGAGCAGAGAGGAGGAAGAAGAGAGAGAACGACGCTCGGCCGAGTCGCGCGCGACAGCATGGGATGAATCGAAACAGCGCAAAGGCACGAGAGAGAGAGAGAGAGAGAGAGAGAGAGAGAGAGAGAGAGAGAGAGAGAGGAGAGAGAGAGAGAGAGAGAGAGAGAGAATTCACGACGTCGGGTCTCGAATGTGGGAATAGGATAACAGCTTATATACGGGAGGTAAGACCCGAGGACGATCCGCGGATCTCGATAAGGCAACCGCGTGGCTAAGATCGATAATCGGCTCGGAGAAAATAAGCTCGTTGGTTACACGATTCTCGCGTTCTAGTGAATATTCCTTCCATGAACGAGAGAGAGAGAGAGAAAGAGAGAGAGAGAGAGAGAGAGAGAGAGAAAGAGAGAGAAAGAGAGAGAGAGAGAGAGAGGGACAAAGAGAGAGGAAAAGTGTCGTCACACAAAATCTCGATAGAGAGATCGACAGGAGACGAGACGGCCGACAAGATGGCGTCGAAAAATCGTCAAAAACGGCTCCCCAAAGAGGCGGGGACAATTATTGTCGCGACTTGGACGGCACGATTTAAGGCACGAGGGAGGTTCCGGCTTCCGCGCGACAGCCGTGCGAAACGAACGGCAAACGGTCGGTGAGACACTTCTCGACCGGCTGCTCGGGGGTGTTTCGATCCCGTGCGATCGCGAACGGCGAGCGATGATGAACATATCGAACGCGAGAAAAGCGAAACAGAGAGAAGATCACGAGCGCTACCGCTCGCGCTGAAGGCACGCGCGTTCCCCGACGGAGGGTGACTCTACATCGCGTGCGAAGCGCGCGCGAGAGATCGGCAAATGAAAAATCGCGAGATCACACGGACGCGGAAAGCGACACGCCGGCCGAACGGAAACGAAAAAACGAAAACGAGAGTTCGATCTTTACCTGAGGAGAGGGGCAACGTTAAAGCGAACTATTGTCCTTTGCACGTTCGATGGGCGAAACGATCGCGCGCGATCTCCTTCACTGCGACGTCGAAGCGCTCGGCGGCGGTGGATCTTCCGCGAAACTGCGATCGAAGGTGAGAAGGAATGAACCGAAAGGGAGGAAACGGAAAGAACGACGGGCGCGACGGGAGAACCGACGATCAACTGTGGGCGAGAGGGACCGCGACTGAGGGATGGATCGGGGGTGCTCGAACGAGAGGACGGACTGAAGCGGACGAAAGGAAGAGACTCGCGAGATCGGAGGACGGAGAGCGCAGAGGAAGAGAAAGAAGAGGAGAAGGAGGAAGAGGAGAAGGTGGAGGAGGAAGAGGACGAGTCGCGAGTGTTCGGCTTGGGAGTTGTGGTTCCTGGCGGCGGCGGTGGCGGCTATGCCATGGAAAGGGTCGAAGGGACGGTGGGAGCGAGGGTAGAGAGCGAGGGCTAGGATGTTACCCCGACGGCTGTCGCCAAAGAAGTGATAGGTCTGCGGCCTTGCGCGCGGTACCCGAACCGCCGCGGGTGCAGAGAGGGCGCCGAAGGGAACCGAGGCGATGTCACCGAGGGCGCAGACGCCGGGGT